TCAAGTCCCTCATAAGAACTGGGTCTGTGATCTAGAGACTTCCTCCAGTCATTTAAAGGACACTCCACTCACTCACTCATCCTGATCAGGAGGTCAGGACACTCACCTCTGCCATGACCCAGGCAAACGCAGGGAGAAGCAGCTAGGAGCAGACAAGGCCAAACACACTCTACTTGCTGATAACCAAATTACCTGCGGGCTTTAATTCTTCTCTCAGTATGCCACCAAAGGCAGCCTATTTCAGGACACAGTTGTTAGTAAAAATAACAGAGAGATCAATATAGAATGGATAAAATGCAAGCACAACCATTTGGATGGATAAAATGTAAACACATTTACAAAAAAGGATGAAATGTGGATAAAATGTAAACACAATCATCCAATAATAAAAAGAAAAAAACCACAAATTCCAAGACAGAACGTTGGCTAAGCTGCAAACAAAGCACAGCGAAACTGGAAAGGCCAGGAAAAATTAAGCTCAAATCACTGGGTTGGTTGAGGGATCTTTCATTTCCACAGCTGGGCTCCTTCATGCCATTTCCGTTTATCCCAATGCCTCTGCAGCGTAAAGAGAAAAAAAGGGGAAAAGGCATGAAGACCAAACCTGCCACACCGCAGTGGTTCCTCAGAGCAGTGGACAGGCAATTTCAGCAAAGCTGCCTCCTACAGCCCCCCGCCGTGTCCTCGGCACCGAGCACTTACATGCACATGTAGGATACTGAATCACTCCATCCAGGCATGTTGCCCTAAATTTCTCAGGCTGTGAAGCCTGTCGGTACCATCGCTTGCATTCAAAGAAAATATAATCCCCAGAGCGATAGGTGGAAGTTCTCGACCAGCTTGATGACTGTAGTTGAATATGGTTGTCTTCCATAAGCCCCTCATGCACTGTACAGTTCTCTGGAAAGAGTACTTTCATTATTTGCCTGTAATGAATTACTTGTTGTCACTCTGGACAACTGATGCTCTGAAACCGTTAGTACCAGCCGAGAGCCCCCGAGAGCCCTTTCCCCAGCAGTCTTGCCAGCTCAGGTACGCTAGTCAACGGCTTCTTGGGAGCACTGCCCCTCGCCGCCTGCAGCTTACAGGATGCTCCCACACCCTGGCGCCCTGCTGCTACCTCCCCAGGCACAAAGCACTAAGCTAAAGGCTTTGCCCTCGGCTTCAGCCCTAAAAATGCAACAACACAGCGGCTAAGCTGTGGCCGGAGTGGAGATGACTTACTGCCTGGCTTGCACCGTGGATATTCTAACGTCCCCTCCATACACTGTGCTCTGAAGGGGGAAGATGCTGGGTCCTTCAAAAACCCTCTTTTACACCGAAATTCAATAAAGTCACCCGATGTGGTATACAGCTTTCTTCGTATGATCCATTTCAGCTCAATATTGTTTCTGCCCATGTCTTCTTCAGACGCTGTACAGGCCACTTGAAAAAGGCAAGGGAAGAGTGTCATCACTTCATACAGACGCACCACAGGTCACTTTTTTCCCCTGAAGCCTACAGAAGTTCTTCGCATCACAAAATGCTTCCAGCTATTTGCCCTGACCCTCTGCTACCTGAGACAGGAAAGACATTCACATCCACGCTAGAGGGAAAAAAGACCATGGCTGAGACCCCACGCAGAGCTATGGAGAAGCCTTTTCACTCTGACGGTCACACAGGGCAAGATCGAAGCACGGATGGGGGAAGTCACCAGGCACCAATGAACTTCCCTGTGTCTTTTTTGAGATCCCTCCTGCCCTTCTGCCCAGCACTTCTCTAAATTCGTTTCCTGATGGCCATGTTGCAGACGCACCCCTAGATTTCCCCAGCACTGCCACGCACCCAGACCCATCCCCCCCCCCCCCC